ACGAATTCCTCTCTTACCTTTACATTTGTAGCCTTGCTTGTAAAATCCCCAGATCTGGAAAAAAAGAAAGAAAAAAGAGGGGGAAAGGAGTGGGGTTGGGCATTAATCCTGATTTTATTTTGTTTAGGACGCAAGCTTTATATAATGAGGTAAAGACCCTACAATAATACAGAGAAAACTGCAACAAACAGGCAACTATGAGTAAGCACTTGGCAAAGCAAGGCAAGAAAGAGGTACAATGAAGCGAAGAGACATGTAAGGTGTGAGAGCGAGATAGAGGGAAAGAAAAGGGGGAGAGAGACGGGAGGCCGGCTGGACAGAGGGGGTGGAGGGGGACCGAGATCAAGCGGGATGCAGGGAGCGCACAGGCAGTGGGGGAACAATGACATGAAAGAGCTGAACTGGAGATCACACACCGCACTGGCACATCTGAGGAGGCACAAAATATCCTGACCTCTTCACGTACACACATACAGACACACACAAACCTACATGAATGACAGCGAAGCCGCATACACCTGTAGGTGCACGTTTGCACACTGACACAAAGAAAGTCTCTCTCACACACACACACACACACAGCCAGAGGCTTTAAAACAAAGAGAAGTTAGTTCTGAGCAGAATATCCAAACACAACTATCATCACAGCCCTGCCTACGCTGACTGACCTTTAAAGCCTCTGTAGACGCTAAAACACAACACACTACAAACAACAGCTGGAAACATGCTGGTTTTAATTTAAGCTTTGCCACCTCTACTGGCTGTAGTTACACATTTGATATTTTAAAAATGCACCGGGAGGCGTTTATGTTTCTATTTTTGAAATCATTTCTAATGCCTCAGTGCTGAGTTTTGAACCAGCACTGACAAGCAGTGTGTATTTAATTTCTCAGGTATTTTAAGGCAATCTTTTATCAAATAGGAAAGTTCAAATAAGGGGAGACAATAATATGTTGCAGAAACTGTGCTGTTTTTAATGCCCAGACTGTAGCAAAACTCAAATGTCATTCTGTTCCTGCTAAATTGCTTAATACAAAAAAAAGTGACAGAAGGAAAAATTTGGCTTTTATACGACGAGAAAAGTTTCCATTTATCATTCTACTGAATTCCCATGAACTTTTTTTGTTATCGCCATTTTATTTTAAGTATTTTCAAATGAGGGAACAAGTTGTTTTCTAAGGACACACTGACATCGGCCATTATTGTGGAAGAAATAATGGAAGAAAATGTGCAAATTTGGAATTGGAATCACTTTATCTAGACAAGCTCAAAAGTACCCTATTTTTTTTTTTGTCTTTAGTGGAGGAAGGGGGTTAACTGATCGAACTAACATTTTAGTCTGTCAGACAAAATAATTTGAAGTAATTTATGTAATGCACATAAGTAAAAAAAAGAGCACACATCCCACCCTTTCCATGTGCAAAACAGGGGCAGGGAGAGCAGCAGCATGACCCCGTGCAGGACGCAGCAGGCAGGAAAGCCTGGTGGACGGGCACGCCTCTTTCAGTCGCTGTCAATTGTGTTTAAGGCTGTGAAATCATTTGCAGTAAAGCATCACTGCTCACTGTAAATGATTCTCAGAGTAGACGCGTTATTTTACATCTTTCAGAATCAGGCTCAGGACTGGGAGTTAAACTTAACATGTAGTTTTTAACGTCCATTATTATTTTTCAGTTTGTAGACCTTTATGCTAGTTTAAGAACCTGTAACCATATCAAACACATAATATGAGGTCAATGTACAATTAACCCTGCAAACCAAAAGCTCATCGACAGCTC